GTCCAAACGTTATCGTTTGCTTTGGCGCGTCGTTATCAAAACTCCGGTATTTCGTCGTTTGCACCGTAAATATCACAGGGTTGTGATTGGTGCATTTAATGACCCTTTGGGCGAATCAGACAACGTTACCAATTTGACCTGGAGGATGATGAGCTCCATGATCTGGCCATAATAGAGAGATTTCGGAAATCGCCTGTACCAGTACCAGTACCCGTATATTTCTGATTTTTTTGCGGGTGGGGGTAATTGTAGGGAGGTCGCATTCGTCGATTTCGGAGCCCGGTTTTTCCCTTACCCGCAGCACGCGACGGATATGAGTTGCATATCCGGATGCTCGGCGTCATTTCCAAACCACTCGTCTGTTAGAAAGGATGCAGCAGGAGCGTCTCGTCCTCCTACTGCTTTGGTGGAGGAAGAACCGCAAGAAGCGGTTCGCGCGGTCGAGGGTCCTCGCCATCATGGCTACTTGGATCGTCGAGCGTCCTCTAGTACCTGACGTTCGCTTTGCTCTTCACGAGATGCGCAATGCAGATGCTATACTTTCATTTCGCTTTGATGTGCAGAGCATTGTACGCCTCGCCGATGTCCTCGGCCTGCCCCACGTGGTTAAAACCGAGGAAGGAGACAAAGTGTATGGTGTAGAGGCGATGTGCATCATGTTAAAGCGAATGAAGTACCCGATAACCTACTACGATATGATGCAAACGTTTGGGCGCTCTCGTGGCCAATTGGCGCGCATCTACAACTACACCATCGATTTTCTCTACGCTCAATGGGAGCATACGATCTACTTCGCCGACTACGTCGACCGTGATCGCTTACAGCTCTATGCTGATGTGGTGCACCGCCACGGCGCCCCAACGATCAATGTCTTTGCCTTTCCCGATGGCACCAAGGTCGAGACGTGCCGCCCGCATGCTTCCGTCGACGAGCTCCACAATCTCGTCGAGCAGCTTCGTCGTCTCCGACTCGTCCTCATCGACACCAGACAAAGTCATAGATTCAGCATTAGCCTTACGGTGCTTCTCTTGGAGAAGTTGGAAACGGCCCTGGAGCCTCTTGACGTCGACGTCGCGGTCGAAGTCTTCGCACTCGTTGAGGATCTTGACAACCGCTTCCCACCGCGGCAAGGCCGGGCCCAGAGACTGTTCCGTAAGAAACGGGCGCTCGAGGTTCAGCTGTCGAAGCAGCATGAGGTCCTCGTCGGCAGTCCAGTTGCGGCGCTTTGGCGCCTCCTTGGGTGGCATGGCTTGTCAAACTGGCGCGCCCTCCTCCACACAAAACCATGGTCCTGTGTTTGCGCAATCGCAGGCCACATGACCCATGCGCTTACGTAATCACAAAATGGCTCTGCTGGTACGGATTGGGCGCCCGTGCAAATCGCTAAATCCAAGGATTCCAGCATCGAGTTTCAACGGGTATCCGTAGACGCTTTAATTCTGACAGGTTTTTTTCTACGGGTACCGGTACAGATGGGCTCCGAAATCTCTCTAATGAAGGTGCTACATATATCGTAGCGTGCTGCTAGCG